TTTTCTTTGAATGTTTGATAGAGAAAATGTCAATCATACCAAATGTCTGGTATGAAGCCACCTGGACCAGGGCATTTTTTTGTTTGAGATTTTTTTGGTCTTTCTTTGATCTTAGTTCTAGAAATTGGTGTGTTCAAGAGATCTAGTTCTTCCGGAGTAAGTCTAAGAAGAGGGTGTAATTCCAGATATTGATCTGGAATTACATTGTCAAATTTCTGGGCATAGAGTTTCTGGTAGTACTCAGAGAGGATCTCTTGTATCTCTCTGGCATCTGTTGTTATTTCTCCTTTATCATTTCTGATTGTGGTTAGTAGAGATTTTACTTTTCTGTTTCTAGTTAATGTGGCCAAAGGATTGTTGATCTTATTTTTCAAAAAACACCTTTGTGTTTTATTAATTTTCTCAATGATGTTTTTTATTTCAATTTCATTAATCTCTGATTTAATTTTGGTTATTTATTTTCTTCTGCTGGGTTTGGGATGACATCATTCTTTTTTCCCACACCATAATATGGTTCATGAGTTTGTTGATGCACTCTTTATCTGTTTTTCAAATGTAGGTATCTAATGTGAGAAATTTCCCTCTTAAGACTGCATTTGCTATCTCCCATTGTTTTGCTAACTTTTGTTTTCTTTTTTTTTTTATGTTTGGGGAATTTAATGATTTTTCTCTTTTACCTCTTCCTGAACCCAACTATCATTCAGTATTAATTTTTTTAATGTCCAAGTCTTTGTGTGCAGATGAATATTTTTATTGGAGTCAAGTTCCACTTTTATAGACTTGTGCTAAGAAGTTAAAAGATATATTTCTATTCATTTAATTTTGCTGAGGTTTGCTTTGTATCCTAGGATGTGGTCTATTTTGGAGTATGTAACATGGGCTGACGAGAAAAATGTATATTCTTTAGCTCTGGGATGGTATAGTCTGTATATGTCTATTAATCCTATTTGTTCTAGGATCACATTGAAGTTCTTTGTATCTTTGGTTTGTTTCAGTTTAGAAGATCTGTCCAGTTCTGTTAGAAGGGTGTAAAGCCCCCAGCTGTGATGGTGTTATTGGATGTCATATTACTCAGACCCATGAAAGTCTGTCTGATGAATCTGGGAGCATTTAAGTTGGGTGCATAAATATTTAAAATTGAAATGTCTTCTTGTTGTATCATTCCCTTGACCTGTATAAGATGTCCGTATTTGTCATTCTTACCTTTGGTTGCTTTCAATATGCTTGTATCTGAAAATAAGATTACAATCCTTCCTTTCTTCTGATTCCCATTTGTTTGTTTAAAAACTGTTTTTCATCTCTTAACCTTGAGTCATGATTTGTCTTTCAAGGCTAGGTGTTTCTCCTGGAGACATATGGATGGCTTTTGCTTCTTAATCTAATCACTCAGCCTGTGCCTTGTCAGTGGTGAATTCAGTCCATTGATATTTATTGAGCAAATCGATAAGTGGTGGAGTTCCATTCATCTTCTTTTGTGAAAGTCTGTTGTGTAGGTTTATCCTTTGCAACATGTGGAAGCTAAGTTTTGAGCTTTAGCTTCTGCATGTTTTCCTTGCTTGTAGTCTGTTGTGATGGCAAATGTTGAGAAATTGTCTAAGTATTACCTGCATGGCTGGTCTTTTTGTGGCAAATTTCTTCAGTGTTTATATATCTGCAAAAAATTTTATTTCTTCATCAATTTTGAAGCTTAATTTCACAAGATACAGAATTCTGTCTGAAAATTGTTTTGTTTAAGGATGTTGAAAGTGAAGGACCATGCTCTTCTGGCTTGGTAAGTATCAGCTGAAAAGTCTGCTGTCATAATAATGACTCTGCCCCCTGTAGGTCAGTTGGTGCTTACTGCTGGCTGCTTGCACAGAGTTTTGCCCTTCATCTTGACTTTAGGCAGGTTCATTAAAATGTGTCTTTGAGAAGCTTTGTTAGAGGTGAGATGGCTTAGGTTTCCATACCCATCTGAAAGGAGTGTGTCAGAGAATTTAGTAAAACTTGGGAAGTTTTCATTTATGATAGTATCCAAGAAGAGACTATTCATTCCTTTGGGACAATCTTCTTCCCCTTCAGAAAATCCTAGTATTTCTGTATTTGACTACCTCATGGAGTCTCCTAGTTCTCTAAGTGCCTGTTCTTCTTTCTCTTTCTTCTTTTCTGCCTCTGTAACTACCTTGGTTAACTCAAAAACGTGATCCTCTAGCTCTGAGGTTCTTTCTTCTCCATGGTCTAACCTATTTGAATACTTTTTACTGTATCTTTACATTTTCTTATTGTCTCCCTCATTTCCTTAAGTACTGCCATATCCTTTCTATAGTCTACATATCTTTAATACAACCTTTGGTTCCATCTTTCCATTTTCTCATCCATTCTTTTTATTGTCTTTATCATCCATATGTTAAATTCCCTTTCTGTCAAATCCTCCAGTTCTTTATAGGTTGAGTCTTCTGCATTAGTTGCCTCATGATCCCTGGGGGAGTTGCTCTGTTTTGATTTTTCATGTTGACACAATTTTTCTGTTCATTCCTCCTCATTTTTTCTTTCTTCTTGTTCACCTCCTTCTCCTTCTTTTTCCTTTTCACTTCCTCCTTTGCTTCAAATTTCCTTGTCTCAGAGCTTAGGTCTTGAAGTGGCCTCAGGCTGAGCTTAGCCAAACTCTTCCTTGTGGACAAAAAAATAGGAGTCCTTGCTCTTGATGACAATACGTTGCAACCTATGTCACCAGGACACCAGCTGGCACTGTGGTTTTTTAGGAGACAGATAATACAACCAGCAATCTATAAGGTCATTAATCTATAAGGTGATTACCTGATTGTCTCCTCAGCATTCAGACACCACCAGATTGGGATCTTAAAGCTCACCAAAATCCTTCAGGGTCAGTTCTCACCATGCCCCCTAATGCCAGACTCTGTGAGGTGTGGGAATCCTTTAGCCTGTCCTAAGAGTGGAGTTCTGATCATAGAAGGCAGAATTAAGATGGCTGTGCTCTAGGCCCCTGCTAAAACCTTCTCACAACCTTCCCATAATGGCAGCCCCCTAGCTGCCTAGACCTTCTCAGTATGGCTGCCCTGCCAGCCATCAAAATGATGGCAAATCCACTCCAACCAGTATTCAAATATGGCTGCTATATATTATTCAAGTCCACCAACTCTTCCAACCTTTCCACTCAATGCATAGCTTCTGCCAACAACTGAAATCTCCAGAAAGGTTTGGTCCTGTCCCATGTCAGAGTCCTGCCCCAGGAGCAGGGTCCACTGAGACCTGTGGAGACTAGTGACTATTGACTGAAGAAATATAGAGTTAGAAGCAACAGTAAAGAAAGTCATGAGACATAGAGTAGAATTAAAAGTGGGAGCTCAGGAGTCCACTGCCCACTGTGGGAATCTGGCAATGGTCCAGAGCGTTTTCTCCACTTTAATTTTATTGAAGTCTATTTGCCCAGAGGGTAAGATGAGGGAGGGAACAAAGATGTTAGCAGTTTTTTGGATTGATCATATCAGCTCCCACTTGCTTGAGATCACACACACAGATTTCTAGGGAGGTGTTAAACTCCACTACTTCTCTTTGGAGTAAAATGCCACCAGCGTTCATCTCCTCCGAGGGATAGGTGGGAGGGAGACATTTTCCTTCCATCACTACCACAGAGGATTTCCCTCTGCAATAAGGGATATAACCTCTTCTGCCCATATCTCAGGGCTGGAGCTACTCCCTTGGTCTCTGCTCCAGGCAAATGCAAATCCCCACAATGAGTATCTGCTTTGCCTCTTTAATGGGCAGGAGATGCCCTAGAAGACGTATCTTTTCTAGGACTTGCCATCTCTTCTATGGCCATTACTCTCCTCAGAGTGCTCATGGACCCAGCAGGGTGTTTATAAGCTCTATCCCCAAAAGGCTAGAATTTCAGAAAAGGCAAGAAGCTTGCTAGCAATGGCTAGCTGAAATGGAAACTAGCTGACTTTTCTTTGTTCTGACTCACTCCACTTACTTTTTAGTTTTCCTTTTTTGCTGGGGGTGCTTTCCTTTGCCAAGAATGGGGTCTTCAGTCCCCATTCTTCCAGCATCCCAGAGCTCTGTAGGGGACCAGCCAATCCCAGTGGGCCACATTCCCTTGCCTAACTCATCAGATTTCCACAGCTGAGGGTCCTATGCTATATCTAGCTCTTCACCTCCTCACTGTGCTCCCTGAGATAATACTCTGGGTAAAGTCCCTATGCCTGGTATGGCTGGATTCTCTCTTTTCCCCCAATCATTCTAGGACAGCTCAACTGAATGTCCCTTCTGGTCCACCATCTTGCTCCTCCACCCCCTCCATATTAATCATTTTTAAGTATAGAGATCATTCATTTTAAGTATGTGTATGTTGTTGTGTGGCTAATCTCCAGAACTTTTTCATCTTGCAAAAACAAGTAGTACATTATTTGTCTTTTCATGACTGACTTATTTCACTTAATATTATACCTTCAAAATTCACTTCTTTTATTGTATGTGTATCAAGCTCGACAATATTCATGGGTATGTATACATCAGTTTTCATTCATTCATTCACACATGGATGGACATTGGGTTGCTTCCACCTTTCAGCTACTGTGGATAATGCTGCTTTGAACATTCGTTGTCTCTGACACCTTGGGCTACTGTGACAAATGTCAGAGACTAAATGGCTTAATCAAGAAACACTTATTTCTCATACTATAAAGGCTAGAAGTCTGAGATCTTGGTGCCAACAGTCAGATTCTTAGTGCAGGCTTTCTTCCTGGTTTCTAGATGGCCTCTACTTCCTGTGGCCTCCCATGGCAGAGAGAAAGCTCTAGTCTCTTCATATTCTTGGTTTTTTGGTTCTGTTTTTATTTTATTTTTTTCTAGGTAAGGGGCTACAAAGCAGACAATCATTCACAATAGGGGGCGGCAGAGGGGAGATACCCCCAGGTCAGTCTAAAAGCAAAGATATTGGGTGGGAAGAAGACACCGGCCTGGAACTTAGCACTCGTCTCACCCAGCAGGGCATAAGGGTTTCAGGCAGCCAGGCTGGACCCTGGAGTTGAGGTTGGGGCATCTTCATCCCCTTCTCTGTCCTTATCCGCATCCTGGTCCTCTCCGTCATTGTCACAGGAGCTGCTCAGCTCTTCCTCTTCCTCCTCACCTGCTGGCTGCACCCTGCCCTGCCAAACCACCAGTGCTGTAGTCTCTGGATGGGACTCCCAGGTGCCTCTTGGCATTGGTTCATTCAACCTCCCATGCGCAGTACACTAAACAGAAGCCTTGGGCTTATCAATTTCAATTTTCACAACCACCTTGCTGGGGGCAATTACTACCCTTAGCTTTCAGATCAGGAAACCATCTCAGATGGTAAGAAACATACAGCTGGCCTAACGGTGAAGAATCCAGGCTTGACCCTCATTCCGTCTGGCTACAAAGCCCACACCCTTTTGCTTATACTACAGCAGAGGGCTGGGGAAGAATATCTGGGCTCTGACCTTTCTGTTCATTGTAGCCCGGCGGATGAAAACACAGGCTGAGACGGCCATCCACTGCCAGCTGCAGAAGGCTATTGGCTGCTCTATACACATCATTCCGAGCTGCCTTGGCTGTCTTGTAACCACATTTCTCTGCCCAGGCTTCACAGATGTCCCAGGCACACCAAGGGTGTTCTGCCGAGGGCTCCTCAGCCTCTGGGTGGCGCAGGTGAAGCAGGGCCTGCACCTGGACTCGGGAGGCCAGGTAGCCCACGGCAGTGTAGGGCTCCTGGATCTGCGCAATGGGGTAGATACCGGCCAGAACCTGCAACTGCCTGGGCAGAAGAGATGGGAAGACCAGGCCTGGGCAGTCACAAAGCTTCACGGTGGGGGTGAGAAAGTAGGTTTGAAAGTACCGAGTATGGCCTGGGGTTCTGGAGACACTCACAACCTTCCGCCCCACCAGCCCATTGATGAGCGAGGACTTGCCCACATTGGGAAAACCCACACAGCCGATGGTCACCACCCCATCCTTGTAGCGCTCCCGGGTTGGGCCAGTTGGCTCCATCGCTGAATCCGTCTGCTGTTCCACCACGACTGCTGGCCCATCCTCCTCTTCCTCCTCCTCCTCCCCAGAGCCATCACCCCAAGTGGCTCCAGCCACATCGCCAGCAATCTTCTCCCGCCAGCTGCTCAAGTCCACTTTCCCCACAGTGATGGCCTCACAGGCTCTCAGCAGCTGCTCTGGTCCCAGGGCTCCAGTCCATCCTCTTCCCCGCCTCCGACTCTTCTTCAAGACACTGCTAGGGTCCTGTGGGGGACGGGGGTCCCGAGGGAAAGAGCTGAAAAGGACGATATGGAGCTGGGGATAGTGTTGATGGAAATAATCTTTCCAGGCAACCACGAGAGCTGGCGGGGCCAGATCCACCTTGTTCAGGACCAGCACCAGCGCCAGCCCGAGTTCTCCAGTCACGTACTCGTAAAGCGCTGGTGGGAAATTCACAACTGGATGTCGGATATCAGTGATAAGCAGGACAATGTCGGACATCTCTAACACTCGCCACAGCTGCCTCCATGTCTCCAGATTGTGCTCAAAGTAGCTGAGTTTCTCAGAGGTGTAAGCCCCATGAATCTTCCCAAGATACTCCTGGAAGCTTCGTTCCTCCTGGCTCATGACTTGCTCCTTGGACATCTCATAGCTCCAAGGAGGACGTCGGGGAAAGTCCAGGACTGAGCCAGGCTGATAGACCTCCCGGATGTCTAGCTCCAGCCCCTCAGCACCGACAGGCTGTAACACTTGTTCCCGCGCCGCTCTCTTTCTCCTCTCCACCTCCTCCCGACTGTCGCCTTCCAAATGCAGCCGGTATCGATTTGGGTGGTAGCCTCGTGGACCCAGCCCCTGAGAAGGCTGCCGGTTGAGCCTGCGGATATGACGGGTCACAGACTCGGCGTCCGAGGTGTGGGTCTGCTCCTCCCGCCGCTCCCGGCTCCCGCTGCGGCTGTTGGAGCTGGAGCGTACCCCATCTTGAAGTCCTCTCTTCCGCTCCCTCTTGTCCTGCAACTGCTTCTTTTTCTGCTTCACGCTGAAGGGCTTCTTCCTCGGCATGGCCGGGACAGTCACCTGGCCCGCCCTCCGCCGAGCTCCCGCCGCCTCTACCGACTTCCCCCGGGACAGCCCCAGTTGCGGGGCCCCGGGACCCTCGAGGAGGCGGGCTAGACGGTGACGTCCGCG